AAAGTCTGGTTGCCGATTACGTTGAGTGTAGCGGTGTTGTCGATGTATAATGGCGCGCTCCTGAACTCAGTCAAATCCGAAGCCCAGTTCCTTCATCATGTTGCTCTGGCGAGTACCATGCGGATGCTCTGAAGTCGGCAGACAGGAGCAAACGTCCCTCCGCAGTCCCGTCCTGGTACTTGATTCCATCCTTTAGCAACCAAGCGCGCCTTATGCGTGTTGTTGTCTGGCTTAACCTTGAAGACCCACTTCGAGCCAATCACTTAATGCCCCTATGGAACGTCGGTGCGTGGCACGAGCTTGCACACTTTGCGGTCTTGCATGCTTTTCATTTTTTTGTCAGTCGCAGCCTTCCAGAGCTCCGCTTCTGGCAACTCCATGGCCTCCTTGAAGGTGTTCGGTATGGTCTTGACCTTCTCCCCCTCCGAACGACCGTGGATTTGGGTGATATTGGCGACGAAGGCGTATTCCAGGAAGTTGAACCTTTCCTCGCGATGTCTGATGTCGGCCAATGGGGTGTTCAGTGTCTCGACCACTTTGGTTGGTGAGGGATGGTTTGTCGACCTTGGTTGTAGATCTCGTCCCCGCATGATCAGGCACTCGTGTGCTTGAACGCAGCGTACGTCCAGTGACGCTTGGAGGAGGTGCAGGTTGTTCCCCCTCAGATGACGAATTGTCATGTGCTGGTCCAATCGGTGACGTGGTCTCGTTGTTGCTGGTAAGAAGGTCTTGACTGGTGACCTCTTGGATGTTGCTGACCAGCTGTTGCATGTCGCTTGTGTCCGATGAAGATGTGCCCCTCCGAAGTACCTCGCACTGGTGCCGTGCTGAATCGAGGCTCATAACCTATTGTGAGATTTCCGTGTGGATCCCGGCAGGTGGTGGCAAAGGCTGACACCGACAGACGTTAGTCTGTCCAGCTAGCTCGCAGGTAGCAGGTGATGCTACTGCTGTAGACTTGTTGATGTTGAATGGGCGCTTGCGGTCAACAAAGACTTATGGAGAACAATAAACTTTGGCAGTCTAGGGAAGAAGTCAGGAGAAAGAGCAGAGTGAGAGAGAAGGGGGGCGAGCTTGGCTGCACCTCTTTCCTTCCTAGAACAGCAGGNGCTTGCGGTCAACAAAGACTTGTAGAGAACGATAAACTTTGGCAGTCTAGGGAAGAAGTCGGGAGAAAGAGCAGAGTGAGAGAGAAGGGGGGCGAGCTTGGCTGCACCCCTTCTCTTCCTAGAATAGCAGACACACACACATGTTTTAGACTAGTCCTAGAGGCTGTTCTGGAAACTAAAAGACCGCCCGGAAACGTTCCGGGATCCGCAATACTGTTTCAGGAACCAAACGGGTCATACATGCTACGTGGTTTCCTTGAACCAACTAGTCCACTGTTCTTGAGAACGTTCCTCAAGACGTGGTGTAACGNAGAGGCTGTTCTGGAAACTAAAAGACCGCCCGGAAACGTTCCGGGATCCGCAATACTGTTTCAGGAACCAAACGGGTCATACATGCNAGAGGCTGTTCTGGAAACTAAAAGACCGCCCGGAAACGTTCCGGGATCCGTGAAACTGTTCCAGGAACCAAACGGGTCATACANTAGAATAGCAGACACACACACATGTTTTAGACTAGTCCTAGAGGCTGTTCTGGAAACTAAAAGACCGCCCGGAAACGTTCCGGGATCCGCAATACTGTTTCAGGAACCAAACGGGTCATACATGCTACGTGGTTTCCTTGAACCAACTAGTCCACTGTTCTTGAGAACGTTCCTCAAGACGTGGTGTAACGGTTCAGATCTCCACTGCTATGATACCACTGAACATTGACTTATGTAGCCTTGCTATTCCACAACACCATGTCTAGGCTTATCCGCCACATGAGCACGCACGCCTAGCAGATTCAATGGTAGCAGCAGCAAGCCAGCAAACCTCCCTCTAGCTTCTTCCATGCCCGAAACCAAAGCAGCAGGTGCAGCAGCAGCAGCAGAGGCAGCGGTACCAGCAGCAGCAGGAGCAGCAGCAGCAGCAGCACAAGTACCCCCGTCCCCCACCCAGCACACGCTGCTACAGAGCGGAGCATCCTCACTCCCCTGGCCACCGCCTTCCTCTCTCTCCCTCTCCCTTCCGGCTGTCTCGGCACCACGCCAGGTCACCACTCCGTTACATGAGGCCTTGGCGGGCCAAGCCCTCGTAGGTGCGTCTGTTGAGCACGTTGCCCTCCCCGTCTTCGTACTCCTCGTTGTCTTCGGGGTTCCACTGCTCCTTGTCCAACGAGTCTTTGATCTTGACGTAGAGGTCTCGTGCGTCCGCATGACCAGCAGAGAGACGAAAATCGTGGAGAGAAAAACGTTGTTTATTTGTAGCCATGTTTGCTTGGAGGGGTCAAAACGTTATTGCTGCAGCAATCTAGACTATTGTAGGGAGTATTTTGCGGCAGGCCTTGCTGCAGGTAGGATAGGACTGGCTGTCAGAAGGGGTTGGAAAGGGGGGGGGCTTTTCGAAAGCCAAAAGGTTATTCGGGGGTGTTGTGTGTCGAACGTGAGTTGGGTAGGACGGGAAGCATTCCGAGTTTTGAGGTGATGGGTGATAGCGGGAGGGTCCGCCCTCCACTGTCGAGCGTCGCTTCCTCGTGAGAACGTTGTTGCCCTTGCTGTTTTGCATGGTTTTGCGTTGTCAACAATCGGCACGCCTGCTAAGTAGTGACGTAAAAATTTGATTAAGCCACCCGCTGCTTGAAGAGTTGTTTTGTTTCAAGCGGGACTGGGTCGTGTCTAGGGAGGTCTCCCGCAATCAATCGTTTGTCCATGTTTTGGCGTAACTGCGATCGATATTGCCTCGTCCGTTGTCCACACAAAGTCTCACGTGGCTTTTCCAGAGTTTGCAGACCCCATCTTCAAGCGTGAGCATAGCCTCGTAGTCTAAGGTTGTACAGTAGTACCATAGCGATGTTTGTATGGATGCCCGTACGATAGTCTTGCCTGCTTGGCTGCCTGTTTGTGTAGAACGGATGGAATCCTCCTTCCCCCACGAAATGATCAGTTCNTCTCACGTGGCTTTTCCAGAGTTTGCAGACCCCATCTTCAAGCGTGAGCATAGCCTCGTAGTCTAAGGTTGTACAGTAGTACCATAGCGATGTTTGTATGGATGCCCGTACGATAGTCTTGCCTGCTTGGCTGCCTGTTTGTGTAGAACGGATGGAATCCTCCTTCCCCCACGAAATGATCAGTTCCCAGCCCGACCTGGCAGCACTGCTCAATGAGCATGCTCACATACTCGTGGTTGATGCTTGTCAAGGGTTGGTTGCATTCGTCATCGTGTCTGTGAGTTGGCGCCAGGACAAAAACAAAAAAGGGAGACGGCTCTAGACCTACGTTGGAGAGGCAGCGGGTACTCCGTTGGTGTTTGTCATGAGAAGGCCGGTAATAGGCGCGTCGTCAAGAGGGCGATTGATTGTGTTTTCAAATGCTTCTGTTGGTTGTGCATGCGTTAAAGCTCCCGGTGCCGCCAACACGACCGACGGGGGTATAAGCACAAAAAATGCAAAAACTTACGCGCAGGCGAGCCGAGCATACCGTTATTTCGTTATTTCATTTACAATCGATTGTTGTTGGCGGGGTTAGGACTCAAACAACACCCACGGGTAGGCCGTGGAAATCGTCAGATATCCGGAATATTGGGTCCCGTCGATACGAAACAAACGTGATTCGCCGAAGCCTGCCGACGGAAGTGTACTCACAGAACGATTTGCTACTTGAAAAGTTGCGACCGACCGTAGGTTTGTTAACCCGGGGCACCACGTTTACGCGACGTCAGCCAGACCTGCAAGCTAGAGTCCCACCCTGAACGCACATTCACACGTCCACTGGTTTCTTCTTGAAACGTCCCCTGCCCTCCAAAAACAAAGATGAGACACAAGTCTAAGTAATGACGAACACAGTACTTGTGGTTGTTGCGGGCGCGACCGATCAATGTGCGCCAGGTCGTCCGGACTGTCGCTGCGGTCGTTGTTGTTGTTGCTGTTATGGTTGTCTTCACATCACATTTCACGCCATTCGAACCAAGAAAAATCCATCAGTCGGTAGTGTACCTCCTCGTTCCCTAAAAACTCCGTACAAACAAACGAGTTTCCCCGACTAGTGTTGAGCTTGAAAAAAAGATAATGGCTCAAAGCGTGCACCACCATGCCGGTGAAGCGCAACGAAATACACGGTGTAGCAAACAAACAAGATCGGGCATCCCCGAAAACCCAGGTATGATAAGCGTACGTATGGGCTGTGTGTGACCCGGGCTTGTTCTGAGCACAACGATTTTTGGCACACTTTGCCTGGGGCGGGTTCCGAGCCAAAGCCGGTTCTTTTTCACGAGTTTTTCAGAACGCGGCCAGGAATGACGTTCTATGTCTGAAATTTTGCACACGTTTCCGTTAGGTCACGGGGATCACGAAAGTGTATATAGATTTCATTTGGCCATCATGGTGGTAAGATACTCACGAAAAAGTGGGGGAAAGTGAAAGAAAATCGCATCCGCGGGCCCCCGAGAAAAATTCAAACCCGTCCGAATCTTATGAAAAATTGAGGGTAAGGTCATTTTGGGGTGCAGATCACGAATCCATCGTCAGAATTTTGATCGGAATCAATGTGATGTTGATACAGCTGCGCATTGATACATGCAAAAAGCGGCCATAACCTGAGAACCACTAGTGTAGCGGCGGTAGGCCGATATTCCCACGGGAGCCTGGAGGTTTATATAACCACAGGCAACTAAGTAAGTTGAAGTGCGCAGAGGTGACTACTCTGAGCATGGAGGGCGTGGATTTATAGGATCGAGGTTCCAGGTGTGTCACCACCTCTCGATTCCAATCCGCGAGTACCCGCATCGGATTCCTACATCCGATGCCTACCTGGTGATTCTGATCACCACCAAGTGTGAGAACGAGATCTGTGCCATTGCCACTGTGCCGGCTCCTCGACGCAACGCCACGCAAGGTGGGCCCTGGACCACATCTGTCTCCAACCCGGCGAATCTTGGCAGTCTGCCATTCACCGCCTCGCCCAAATCTTCAGAGCCGCATCTGTGGACGCGTTCGAGGACACCTACTTCTGGAGGACCATCGACGCCGTGAGCCTACACACGCTGTGTGACAGGGCTATCGAGTTGTTCTGCAAAGATCAGAAGACGCCGCCACGTTCCGCGCCGTTTTCATGCAACGCATGGACTTCGACACACGAGTCCTGCAGAACCAACCGGTCGACATGCACGCGCTGGGTTCAGCAGGCATGGAGCGGCGAGGCGACCTCCCTCGTACCTGCTTCTACCGTTTCGCCGACTTCCTTGGGCAGAACTCCGTTACTTTAAGAGTCCCACAGCCGGCCACCCCAAGACCAACGCCGTCCACGCACTCAGAACACGCCGCTCCAATCGGCTCCCACCGGGACAGGAAGATTTCTCTTTGCAACTCCAGCAGTCAGGTGATATGTACGCCCTCGACTCCAATGAACACGATGAGGACGCGACGGACCCCTACTCGGATGATGCGTGGGGCCTTTGCGGCGATTCACAGCTCGCAGCTTTCCCCGCGGCCCGAGCCAAACCCCCCGCCGCTGTCGCAGCCCCCCAGGTCACCCCTGCGGAGGGGAGGCGTAGGTTCGAGATCCGCAGGAGGGACCCTACTCATGCAGAACCGCAAAACGACCGATCGGAACCACGCAGGCGCGGTCCGGCGTCTGGCCGATAGGCGTAGGTTCGAGATCCGCAGGAGGGACCCTTCTCATGCAGAACCGCATAACGACCGATCGGAACCACGCAGGCGCGGTCCGGCGTCTGGCCGATCGGCCCAACCCGATGGTCACTCCAGCCGTAACGCCCGCCTTCTGACTGATGGCGCAGCGGCGAACACGTCACGCAAACGGGAGGCCCCTGTTGGTATGCCCTTGTTGTGTGACCTCCAGAGTCCAAAGAGTGTTGTTAACGGCATGTATCATCGTAGGGGGACATGAGGGAGAAGGAGGGAGGAAGAGTGCCAGGCCAAAGCAAGTCGAAAGGGGGGCCCGCAACTCGTATCTCAAGGTCTCTCATAGCCGCCCCTCAAGACAATTCCCATCTGCGGTATACGAAACCGCCAGCATCGGTGCAATCCGGCCAATCTACTTCCACGCACGAACACCCTCCCCGGTTCCTTATGCCAGTGAAGAACCACCTCGTGCGTCAAACATTCATCCAGAATGACACCTAAAACAACGCAAACCAAAAACAAGGGGAAACCCGCCATCGGATCAAAACCCCTCGGATCTCAACGCCCTCACGCCGTTCATATCACGGAAGATTCCAACGGCACGCCGTTCATGTCACGAACGGTTCCAACGGCTGTACTGCACGGTCAAGACAAGACAATATCATACCACCGACCCCAGACTCGCTCTATGCTCCACGCGCGGCTGACTTGACAAGGTCCGTCCCTCACAGCACAAAACAAATCGACCACGTCCCCACCTCTTCCTGGTGACGTCGTACAGCAAATAAACCTGGTCAAACCAGCCACAAACAAGCACCTGTGTCCACTGCTGTCTGCACTTGGAACAAACGCCGAGCATCCATGCTCTATGCCCTCTCTTGCACAACAACACACAGGACCCGCTTGCCTCCGAACGTAGAATAACGACCAAATTTTCTTCGACAAGAAGAGTCCAACAACACCCACGAGTCCCACCTCATTACTCTGTACTGAATGCCTTCCGGGATATAACTGACGTGCGAGCTACATCCACATTCCTTATTTCCGCTTTTAAGCAACAAACCATGCAAACAACAACAAAACAAGATGTGAATGACCAGGACGCCATCACACAATCCTGCAGCTTTCTCCAGACAACAGTATGAAACAACATCCTGACGTGGTGACGAAATCAGGACTCATACCAAGAACCGCATACCCTCCCCCACTCGAGTGGCTCTGCGGTTTTTTTTCCAAGATAATTCACTTGAAATCGCACCCCAACTGTGTGCCCGGCACCCCAACGTGTGCCCGAACAAAAAATGTCCGATCTGACGCCTCAAAACCGACGCCCGAACAACTAAATGTCCCAATCTGGCGTCCCAAACAGTACGCCCGACATCTCAGACATGACTTGGAACGCCTATACCGTCTGGATCTGCGTATCTATACCGACGCCCAAAACGCGTTTATGTCCCTTTTCTGTCTACACGAGACATGGAGACGCCTACCTGGCGTTGCCCCGTTTCTGTCTACACAAGACATTGACACGCCTGGCGATGTTCCCTCTGTTTACTCAAGACGTGGAAACGCCTACCCGGCGTTACCGCCACGCAAACGGACGCGTCTGCCCAATCTGCGACAAATGACACGCCTATACCGCATGCCATCTCATCCAGCGTCAACGCAAGCAACATCATTTCATCACTCGCGCACGAAACTTGGAACGGCCAACCTGCTGTTNGGTCAAGCTCATCAACGCCGTGCAACGCCACGTGTTCGGCGGCAAACGCACCATCTCCAAGACGGGGCGAGGGTTCCTACACGCAGCCAACCCCGCCAAGGACGCAGTGCCACCGATGTCGATCGTCGGGACGGCTATCTTGCCGCTGATTTTCCTCCTGTGGACCGTGTCTTCCGTGCCCGTGTACGGGTCGTCGCCGACCTTCCCTTCGGACTGATCCTGGGCGCGGCATACATGCGCCACTACCACAGTTTTCTGGACTCCAAGGGCACCGGCTCGTTCAAACAATCGGGGGACGCCCCTAGCGTGCCCCTTTTGCCGGTGGAGCATCAACGGAACGCTCAACCTTGGAGGGATGGGGCGAACTACCTACAGCTTGGTGAGGGACTGGGCGTGTCTATGGCTCCTGGTTGGAAGGCCGCCCGCCACCCTGTGCGGTCGGGGCGGGTACGTGACCAGGAGACGGGAAGCATCGTGTCAGCCACGGAGAACGTCGGCTGCGAGCCCCGTGGACCACCGAATGCGGGCATCTTCTGCTCTCTGTGGAATGGAGTACATCACAACAGACGACCACTGACGCATCACCAGCGGAAGCCGACTTGATGGCGGCTCTCGACCTGGGATCTACGGCATAGGAGGACAGCGCCTCACTCCAGTGGCCGGTGTACTTGGCCCACAAACCGGTGGTCCCGGGGAGGGTAAGTGTCGAAGTAGACGCACTCATTCACGGCCCTCGGCCGTTTTCGGCGCAGTTGTTGGTCGTGTTCCCTCTGCGACCATTCGGCCCTGGGGAAGGCGTGGGTATCGGGGTAGCCAGGGGAGCACAACGGTGGACCCCGGGGACATCTCCGAAAGTCAAACTCACCAACCGCACGACCAAGACCAAGTCCATCGATGCGGGGGTGCAGATTGCCACCGCGTACGCCACCAACTGCGACGACGTGAAACGGATGCTCCCCATCAAAGAACCTGTCCCACAGGAGATCCCATCGGAACCATCGCCGCCACTGGCACCGACGACATAGCCCGAGGCTGGAGCACCGGGCGACTGCGTCCGAGTGAGCAAGATTAACACGGGGCCCCTGAGCCCTCGCACCCGCACTACATTGCGAAGATCATCTCGGCACAGGTGGAGAAGGGCCTCTGCCCGGCGAATGACATGACACTATCTCAACTGCACGGGCGAGAGGTGGAGATTCCCCTCATCGATGAGGACGTCACCCCCATCGCCTGCAAGCAACAGCGGCACAATCCAATACACGCTGATATCATCAACCGCCAGGTAGATCAGTGGAAGGAACTGGGGATAATCGACTACTCGGACTCGCAATGGTGTTCCCGCATCGTGATGCAGCAAAAGAAAAATGGAAAGCCGCGCCTAACGATCGACCACCGCGCCCTCAACGAGTTGACGAAGAAGAGCAGCGGAGGCATCGGCACCCTGGCATCGATGCCTGACCGGGTTGGGAAGAGCAAGTGGTTCACCCTCCTCGACCTCCCGCAGGTGTATCACCAAATTCCGATCAAGCCATCTGACCGACACAAGACAGCGTTCAGGGACGCTCGAGGTCGGCTGTACCAGTTCAACAGGTGCGGTTTCGGCCTTACGACCATCCCGGCCGTCTTCTCAGCACTTCTGGGCGACACTCTGCAGCCGGTCGAAAACAAAGGCTGTGTAGAGAGGTGGCTGGACGACATCCTCATCCACACCGAAACGCTGGAGGAACACTTCGAGGTCCTTCAAGAGGTGCTGGATCTTCTGCAGAAGGCGGGCTACTCCGTCCACTTCCTCAAAAGTCTGTTCTGCATGGCGGAGGTGGAATTCCTTGGTGTTATGGTTGGCAGGTCGGGTGTACGCGCCCCACTGCCTAAGGATCAAACCGCTGACGGAGATGGCGAAGCCTACCACGGTGGGGGAACTGCGATCGTTCTTGGGAATGGTGAACTTCCTCCGAGACTTCGTGAAGGACTTCAGCGCGCTCGTGGCCCCAATCACGGACATCTTGCGCAACAAGGACTTCAGCACCAAACAAGCGAGACACAAGCCCATCCCGTGGGGGAAGGAGCAGGATGACGCCTTCGCCGCTATCATCAGCGCTTTGGTGTCGCCACCAGTGTTGGTACCACCGAACTGGGAGTTGCCACTCACCCTACACACAGATGCCAGCGAAAAGGCTGCGGGAGCGGTACTAATGCAGCTGGTCGACCACCGCGATGGGGCCATCGGCTTCGGTAGCCACCGGTGGACGCTCGCGAAGTCGAGACGGGCACCCACGGGCCGCGAGGTTCGGGTAGCCCTCTTCGGCCTGGACCACTTCAGGACGTACCTCCTGCATCGGCCCTTCACGCTCATGACGGACAGCTCGGCGATCACCTGGCTGTTCACCAGCCGACACCTGTCCTCCACAATGTAAAGGTATGCACTCCGCATGATGGAGTTTTCGATGACCCTACAGTGGTGTATGGGCACCGAACACACTGTGCCGGATGCACTCTCCCGCCTGCCGCAGAGGGGACCAGCGGGACCTCCCGTGGACACGTCCTATCTAGACGACACCACGAGCTCCGAAGGACGCAGCCACGAACCCACAGGGCCAGTGCTCGACGGTGTCCACCTCCAAAGTCTGGCACAGGAGGNTCGATGACCCTACAGTGGTGTAAGGGCACCGAACACACTGTGCCGGATGCACTCTCCCGCCTGCCGCAGAGGGGACCAGCGGGACCTCCCATGGACACGTCCTATCTAGACGACACCACGAGCTCCGAAGGACGCAGCCACGAACCCACAGGGCCAGTGCTCGACGGTGTCCACCTCCAAAGTCTGGCACAGGAGGACACGAACGAACACCCCCCTGGCCCACGGCGCGACACTGACGATACCAGCGGACCGGGAACAGAACGCCAACGCTCGACGTTGTTTCGTTAGCGGCTCTGGGAGCGACCGAAGTGGACCCTGGGCCTTTGCTACCGCTGACGGTTGTCTGGGCCCTACAACACGCGCCGGAGACACCGGACCCGATGGACCACAAGAAACGTCTGGCCAACGAGGACGTACGTCGCGCCTTGACTCTGAGGCGCCCGAGGGCGTGCGTCTTGGGATGCGGAGCTGGCGGTACCCTGTTGGCCCTGGAGGAGGTGCTATAGATAGGTGCAGCGATCGAGCCCGAATGGACAGCGCTGAAGTGTGCGCGAACCAACGCGTGGGGCCAAGAAATCCAACTGCTACGAGCCCCCTCAGCTAGCCCCCGATGCAGGGAAGCTGTTACCGGCGCAAAACCGAAGATCCTCATCGGCAACGCGTGTCGCCGGTATGATCCTGATCGGACGGGCAACACAGCAGCAAGGCAAGCCACGGACATCATCAACGTCTTCCTGTCGAGCCGAGCACGACTCCTGATCGTGGAGTGTCCGGTGAGATTTTCGGGGGCCCCCGAGTGGTGGGAGACCTTACGGCCACTCCTGGAGCGTCACCGATGTTCTGTGGAGGAGGCCACGCTGACAGCTATCGACGTGGGCGTACCCACACGGAAGCAGCGGGTCTTCATTGTAGCGTGCAAACGACAACCTGAGGGCGCCATGGCGAAGCTCTCCGCAAAGCTCTCTAAGTGGAAGCATCACATCCAGCAACCCACGCCAACCAAACCCACCGTCGGCTCTTTCCTCGATCGGGGCGGCCACTACTTCTTGAAGAGACCACCAGGCGAGGAAGCGATCTTCCCAGCTGGTGCGCCGTCACCGACCATCACCCATGTGCACATCATGGGACGTCGACCACCGCCGGCTGACTATCAGGTACACCCAGAGGACGCCGGAACTTTGGACACAGCCGAGAATTTGCAGTGGCAGGACTTTGTGAAGCTCACCACGGCACAAGACGACTTTCGGATCCCACCCACTGTCAGGACCAGCGCCGCGGCATGGGCACTTGAAGAGTTTACGCTATCACCGATGATGGGTGCAGTATTCTTTGCTTGTGCGTCTGTGGCGTAGTCGCGATGAACAGGGACACACGCGACAGCCTAGCCGACGACCCTCTCTTCAGCTTACACGACACCGTCACGGAGACCGCTGATTCTGCGGTTGACGCCGCCCTACAGGAGCCACGATTCATTGCTACTCCGGCGGTCACGCGACGTACGGCGCACCAAGCTCAAGCGCCGCAGACGACTACAGAGGTTCTTCCTTTGCCAGAAGTGGCCGTGCGGCCGGAGTGGAGGAGACAGGTAGCCAACCGGAAGGCAAGGGACCAGCTAGGAACGCCCACACACCTTCGGCATCCGAGTCGCTGGAGGAGAACAGACGTGTGGCGCCGGCGTCAGNAGCTCAAGCGCCGCAGACGACTACAGAGGTTCTTCCTTTGCCAGAAGTGGCCGTACGGCCGGAGTGGAGGAGACAGGTAGCCAACCGGAAGGCAAGGGACCCGAACATCGACACCTGAGCCCCGGGAGGGACGCAAAGCGGAGGAGTCGGTCACGACACCGGTATCTGCTTCGCCACCGGGGATCACGGAGGAACCACCGGGGGGCCCTGAGGGCCACGATGGAGACCACGAACGGCTGGACACACCGGAACTACGTCGGAGACTCTCGGCGAACTTGGAGCAGATGGAGAACGTCTTACGGGACCCTGCACAACTCGCGGAGGCACAAGAGCAGGACCCGACCCTGGGGCCTATCCGAGCTATGCTTGAGGCAGGCCAAGGCGACGACACCGACTACGTACTCGCGGACGACCACCTGCTATGGCACGCACCGCGGGGAGGACTGTACGCAATCGCCGTTTCACTTCGGCTAGTGCCAGGAGTGTTGGCCCTCATCCGCGGTACGTACGGGCACCCGGGCACCGCAAGGACGAGCCTGCTAATCGAGAGGAAGTATCACTGGCCCAAGCTGAAGCGGGACGTCCGTGCATACGTCTTGTCATGCCCGTGCCGCCGGAGGAAGCGAGCGTGGAGTACGCAACTTTCCATGATTCCTGCTCGCCTTCTTCAACCCTGGGAGCTTCTACAAATAGACATTCAGGATATGAAGCGAGAACATCGCGCGCGTGATGCAACACCCGTGCAACTGGCTCAAGGTGTCTCTGGACCATGGCCCGGTTAACCATCCCAGAACCAAGGGAGCGGTGGAACGGATGGGGGGGGTGGCTGCAGAAAGCCCTCTCCCTCCTGTGCAAAGCATGGCCCCAGCGTTGGGACGACTACGTTCCTGTGGCGACGTGGATCCACCGGGTTACGCCCGATCCGGCCCTTCCGGGAGGGGCTTCGCCGTACCAGATACTTTTTGGTCGGCCGCCACGCAGCCACGTCGACTTTTTCGCCCAGCCTTTGGACAGCACTTCGTTCGGCCAAGGCGTGGAAAGAACGGTCGAGGACCAATATCACCTCACGCAAGAAATTCCGGCCAAGCGGCAGGAGGTACTCACCAAACGACGGGAACGCCACAACGCCAGGATCGCCCCTGAGTCACCGGGAGCCAAGACGCAGATCGGAGATTGGTGNGTCGACTTTTTCGCCCAGCCTTTGGACAGCACTTCGTTCGGCCAAGGCGTAGTGGAACGAACGGTCGAGGACCAATATCACCTCACGCAAGAAATTCCGGCCAAGCNGTCGACTTTTTCGCCCAGCCTTTGGACAGCACTTCGTTCGGCCAAGGCGTGGAAAGAACGGTCGAGGACCAATATCACCTCACGCAAGGAATTCTGGCCAAGCGGCAGGAGGTACTCACCAAACGACGGGAACGCCACAACGCCAGGATCGCCCCTGAGTCACCGGGAGCCAAGACGCAGATCGGAGATTGGTGCTGGTCCACGAGACCCCCGTCTCCCTCTACCGAGATGGCCTGCACCCGACTGGCACATGAGCACTTCACGGGACCGTGGACCGTCGTCAACGTCCTCGNGCTGGTCCACGAGACCCCCGTCTCCCTCTACCGAGATGGCCTGCACCCGAAACTGGCACATGAGCACTTCACGGGACCGTGGACCGTCGTCAACGTCCTCTTGGCTCGGCTGTGCTTCACGGTGCAACTCAACGGACGACGCATCCGACAACGCCGAGTAGTAGCTGCCGACATCAAGCCCTTCCACCGGCGTCCCACACATCTCCAACTGCCCTTCGAGGACGAATTCAGCCATGTCATCTGGTCGGCTTCCTTGGGATTGACCGACACCTCCGTGCTCGCGGTACCCCTCTACACCCTGACGGCTCGGAGGGTAGGACAGGGAAAGAGTGCTGGTTCGTGGGCGTGGGAGTATCGAGGTCGATATCAGGATGGGATACAATCGAGCTGGATCCCTGAGGCCGAAGCACGCGACAGCTTTTCGCCGCTACAGCTCGACGTCTTCCACGCGCTTTGGGAACTTCATCACCCTGATTCAGAACCTCAGCCACCGGGAGAACCCGCGCGAGGACAACGTAAGGTGGAATCCCGGGAGCGAGCCTTGGAAATGTTTCCCTGCGGTACCGTCGTGGGCAGGATCTTTACCAACGCCGAAGGACAGTCCGAAGTGTTCAAGTCCAAGGTGTACGACTACTGCGACCCGTACTAGTGGGTGGAATATCCCGATGGAGATTGGGAGGAGCTTACCAAGCGGGAAGTGGAGCAGGGCATCGGAGTTGCTGCCCAACCATCATTTTCTGCTTCACCGAAACCTGGCGCTTCCACTGCCGCGAGCCTGCTGCCGAGACGGTTAGCAGTCTGGGGGGGTGTAGCGGAGGTGTAGAGCGCTGGGGGACACCAGGAGGGCACCTACAACGCCCTAGAGGACGTTCCCTGCGCACCGCCGTCAACGGCCGCCGCTTTTTTGGAAGATGGCCCAAGAGATTCATTCGGGCCATCTCCCACGTCAACTTCAGCTCCAAGATCGACCGCGGCCAAGATGGGAGAGTCACCTTCTCTAGGTTTTTACGTCATATGGTCTGATAACATAGAAGAACATAAGACCGTGCGTATCTCCGTAGACTAGCCATGAACAGACCGAGGACTCAATCTGAAAAATCCCCCCCCGCAGAAAACGATCCACATGTTGATAGAGCTCTGCAGAGTTCGATATAGGGTAAGATTAGGGTGGGGAACACGAATATAGTCTATCATCAGAATGTCCCCGTTTGGCTTTGCAATCGACTTACAGCTGCCTTAACGCTGACTTTAGCTGAGCAATTTCAACTTTTTGGGATTCTCGGTTCCGGGCTCGAGTTTTTGTCGGAACAATATTTTTCTGAGTGGGTCTACCCCCCCTATACCGGCCAAGCAGAAGCGAATGCCGGCCTCGTATCAAACCAAAAAGCTCGGCAATGTGGCGAAAAAAGAGGTTCGAGCCGAGTTCGACCCGAAGATGAACTTTTTTTAGTACTGTTGTTTAAAACATCATTTTCGGCCGTTTCACGGCGATCTACGAAGAAGTCGATTCTTTTTTTCTAGGCCTGTAAGGGGGGTGCCGGCTTTAGCTCGGAACCCGCCCTGGTAAACAGTATGAGTGATACCCCGTACACATGCACGCAGTGAACGGTCTTGCATTCTGGACAAACAATTGCGCCTGGGTACAAGATCGTGGATATAGTGCCATCATTTCGGTGGGTTTTGGGTACTGATACAAACTATTAATATGTATAGTCTATAGGGGAAGCCAAACCATTAGACTGGTCAGCCGGCTTCTATAAAAGTTAGTGGTGGGGTTCGAGAGGGCGCCCCTGTGCCGGGACGTATCATACACACACACGAGCCTTTTCGCCCAGCAAGAAGTGTAAAAAAAATCGTGCACTCGTGTAGCGTTGTTGCACAAGATACCACATCCCCTGGACCGAATCTGCCGATTGTATAGTGGTCATTTTCAAGGACCCGATTTTGGTTGTCCCTCCATAACTTTTGACTGAGA